CGTGTCCCACGGACCAAGCAAAACCAACATTAGGACAACAGAACTAATGAGTGCAGTCAGCCGTAACGGAGATTTAAACATAATCGTAGCATAGTTTAGGTGTAATTTACCTTAACCGAAATAAATCAATTAATTTTTTTCGATGTTTTTGAAAATTATAGTTTTCGAAATATGCGACGTTTCTTTTGCGGTTCAGTTTATGTACAAAAATTCTTTAGATTATGGAATATCACAGTTCTATCTAAAATTCTAAATAATTCTCTTTTCTTGTCAAAAGTCCACACAGACTGATTCAGTTACTTTAGAACCCAACTGAAAAGACGAATTATTTTTCTTACTACACAATCTGTGATAGATTCACTTATGTTACCCCGTGGGTTACTACAGTTGTATCCAGAATTTCAAATAACTGTCTACTCCTCATCAATGTCCACATAGGCAGGTTCAATTATTTTAGAATACCCTTAACAAGACAAGATATTCTCCTTATCTCTATTAAACTGTGAAACTCACTTTAAATACTACCCGTTACAGCTAAACTAACAATCATGCAGTCCAACTTCACTTTCAATTTATATATATATATATATATATGTATATATATATACTCATTGTCCAACTGAGGCCTAGAACTTTCTATTAAGTACGAGACACTATGATGTACCAATACTCACTTAAGGCAATGAGAAAAATACAGAAGGTTCAAGTAATGTGACGTCAACACAATGTACAACTCTCACCTAGTTAAGTAATGAAATTTGTCATAACTGTTGCTTTTAAAATAATCAACTTTTAATACTCTTGTTATAAAACCTAAATAATTATTAAATATTGGATCATTGAACAAACTAAGTAATAACTCTTACACTAAACTATCTTGTATATCCGACAAACAATAAACCAAACATCTTGCTTTAAGTCTAACTTTCTAGACATGACATTCTACCAGACTGACAAATAAATGGGGTAGGGAGATAAAACTTTTAAGCACCAAAGTCAATAAACCTATGCCATGTTTTGTTACCGATATCTATGTCCAGCATATATATATCTCTTGTATTGGTTTACTTTGGCTGGAAACGTATACTATAAAACTTCATATGTGAAAAACATTCAAATACAATACTTAACACTATATGTTTGTCAAGTTAATCATAAACAGTGTTTAAGGAATCCTACACATAAGCTTTCATAACATAGGCCATGAACAAAAAAAGGGATCATTTGATCTTTCACAGCTATCCATGCAAACCCATCCTTGAGAAAAGTAAAAATTTAAACCCATCCTTTATTTTTCAGGAATTTCAACTCATGTAAAGTGCTGATCATCTCTGCTACTTGGTGAATAATTCCGTAAGCCAAAAACAAACTGTCTTTTTCCACATTTTAATTTGTGTCCTTATACCCTATTATCTTCAAAATACAGCACAAACACGTCAAAGACTTATATCTTATCTATCCCCTGTATAATATTGTAAATTCCAATAATAGAAAATAAGTTAAGAGATATTAACCCTTAAGATAACCATTCCATCCTTGGAACCATCCTAGTAGTCCTCATCTGAGCCCTGTCCAATAAGTCAATTAAATAAGGAAACCAAAACTATACACAGTATTTGAAGTCAAGCCTAACCAATGATCTGTGTAGAGAAGTAATTACATCTGTAAATATACCTTACAATTTTATTAGACTTGCTACTAGCAACAGAACCCCACCTTGACAGTACGAGTGACTTATTCATCACTTTGTCAAGATCATTTTCTTTAGTCAAAGTGGTTTCCAATGTAATAAATGTGTACTAAAAATTATAATGACCCAAATAAATTACCACCTTGAAATTAAAATTCATTTAGCCAGTATCTGTCTAACCTACCAAATAATCCAAGTCATTCTCTTATACCTCAAACTCCTCAGAAATACCCAAATTCATCCAGCAATCTTTACTAATTTGCTAATTAATGTAAATAATCATAAGATAATCACCTAGTAACAAGAGTCCAGTCTGACTGGATTTGATTAATAACCAGGTATTGCTTTTTTTTCTATCCAAACATCACATAATCCAATTAACTAGTCTTTCCCTATACTCTACTGATGAGATTATCTTATCACACACTTTTTTGAAAATCTAAGTATACCACGTCCACACCATTTCCATCTTCAGATAATAAGTTACATCCTCAAAAAAAAAAGATAGATTCGTACATTAAGATTTTCCTTTTCTTTAATCCATGCTGGCTTTTTTTTAAATATCATATTTCTTTAAAGGATTTTGTAAAATTCCTTTTATCATTCTTTCTAGAATGTTTTCCCAGTACATAACTAAGACTATATAGTAGAGACAGATGATATGGGTATTAAAAACACCATACAAGTAACAAGGTTAGGTAATCATCATTCTGAGGATGACCTAAAACACCAAACAAGTAACAAGGTTAGGTAATCATCATTCTGAGGATGACCTTAGCAGGTCAAAACATTGTTATTTGTTTGGTGTTTTAAATACAAATTTTATTACCCATATCAGCCATCTTTACTATATACATATATTTACTTCATGTCAGCTCATCAAGATCAAGAGGTAAGACTAAATGGCCGAGAATTTTCAAAGCAACATTTAAAAATAGAAGCAACAATAGCAACTCTCCAATGCTCAGTCATCTGCACACTGTTTACTGACCTATCAAAAATGAAAGAGAGAGAGGCTTAGATCTGATCTTTGACCTCCTTTAAAACCCTGGGAAATCTTGTCTGGCCCAGGCATTTTATCAATCTTTCTACTTAGAAGTTACCATCACAGGATTAACTAAATGTTCAGGGGTAAGTCCACTGGACCAACCCCAAATTGGAGAAGTAACACTAGCTACAATTACCACACATATCTTCATGAAATGGGTCAAGCTTTTAGTAAATGGTACAAGTCTGTTGTACACAAAAAAATCTGATGTGCTAATAACATATGACCTTGCACTAGAACTTTTCATAGTCTGAGTCAGACTGACACCATCAATTCACAGACTGAAAAGTTGGAGTGCAAGGTAATGTTCATGGGAAGAATACAAATATGGTGGATTGAATTGTTTAATATTCTGATAAAGAAACAGTATCTTTTAATGCTAACATACCAGAAAGTAAGTCACACTGACATATGGATTAAACCTACTAGAATTAGCATATATATACTCTTTGATTTACCTTTCAATTCCAGCAAAGCTCGGGGATAAATATCTGTGTCTGTTTTTGACAGCGTGGCAGAGACGTCTGTTGGAAGCATGTGCAAGGCAGTAAAACTTCCGTAATTGTTTCGATAGCGTGGCACTAAAACCTTGAACAGTTTATGGATCAGTTGTTTCTCCTACAAGAAATTTTTTACACAATTAAAAATGGGACAAAAATTACATCTTAACAAACGTATCAGTTCATAAGTTCCTTCAAATAAACTTAATTTAATCATAGCAACAACAGCCAATCTTGGCTATAATTAATAAAAACTGACATAAAACAATCACAGAAAAACACACACATTTATATATGTACACTTTTCTCTTTTACCTTATTGGTGATTTCAACAGATGGAGAAAACTGTATAGAGTTAACATAACTCGCATAAATAATGTACATTCAGTATTGATAATACTCATAACAATCTAGCCTAAAACTATAAATTTTATTATACAAAACAGATCAAATCTCTTCATAATATACTACCCCATAAATCTACTTCAAAGGAGATTCTTTCTCTCAAAAAACAATTCGAAATTACTTTTCTTCTTAAGTCATTCTGTCATCTTCAAACTTGATGAACACACATGTACCCTAGTTTTTACCGCCAGCATTATGATATCAACTTTCCTCATTCCAGTACTTTCAAAGACCATGAACTAGCTAATAGCTGACTTAATTCATGTAATGTAAGTGACCAAACTGTAACCTAATTTGTTTTTCTCAAATCCCTAACAAAAATAATGAACAAATCAATTGTTTATACCATGAAATAACAAAATACTAAATATAAAAACTGTATGAACATCTGTGAGAGACACATGAACCAATAATTATTTCAGATGTTCATGGATATAACTTATTTGTAGAGAAAATTTGAAGTCACATAAAAGATAACCTATTTCTTTCTCCTTGTGTTATGTTTACTCAGTATACAACAGTGGTAGACTGGTAAGGGGACCAACTGATGGAGATTTTAATACTGCACATACTGCAGCTCTTATAAACCCTCAAATGATCAATTCTATTTCCTTTTGACTTTCAGTCATGGTGAATAAAAAATATATTTATATGCTTAAAAAAAAGTTACCTCCAACCAAAAATCTGCCAATTCCATTGTAGGCTGATGCCGGTTTCCATTTGTCATTGCCTCCGTAATCAACTAAACAAATGAAAAAACAGATACTCACTGCTCTACCTGGAAATTGTGAATGTTATTACCAGCTTATTCAAGGACAAAAGTAAATATACTAACATCGTAATCTCTCCTGTACTTTAAAACTTAACTTTCAATAAACGTTAAATTCAAGCAGATTTCCCCAACATCTTTTATTTTAATTACTTCAGAAAAACAAGCTTCACAAACGGGGCATTTACCTTTCTCAACTTATTCTTGTTTCCTCCATTATTTTCTAAAAATTCACAATAAAATCAATTAGATCATGATATAATTTTAAAATATTTCTAACCTATTAAGAATAAGATATTAAATGCTAAATCAACAATTCCATGAGACCAAAAACATTCTTTAAAAAATAATGCTAACTTGTTTCTTGTTGTCAACACGTTTTAATACGTATATACTACTATGTTTACATAAAAAAACATGAAAAAAAATGTATTTTTGCATAGTACACAGTGACTTCTAGACAAAGTAATTTCCTGTATTTTATTTATGGTCTGAAATAATAAAAACTAAAAACAATCAATTTAAAGTTTAAAAAGGACATGACAGGCAAAAATGTGTGGATCGTACATTTAACAAACATATTTCACAATAGCAATAACGTAATATCATAGTTTACATTCACTATTCACTAAAAACCATTTCCTGCAAGAAAAATGTAAAAGAAGTCAAAGGTTTCTTTCTTCCAATCAAAAAGTGTCTGAAAATTATTTGCTATCAATGAGTGAAAACATTATACGTCCAGAAAACAAAACCTATTAATTCACGAACAATAGTATAAATTTCGATTTGGTCCACTTAAAAAACATAACATTTATTATATTTGAAAAAAAAAAAACTATTGAAATGTTTTAAAAGATACATAAACATTTACAGGTGGGTTACTTTGTTTCTACTTGTAATTTTTGCCCATAAATATTCATTTATACAGTCGTGCAATGGTTCACACCACTTTATTTTCTTCACATCTTAGAGGGAACAAATATTGAAGGATAAAACATGCCTTTCCACAATTTACAGCTGACAGATCGATGATGTCATAATGAACCTTTACTTTTCCTTCTAATTTTGTGATTGGTCAGAATTGGGATTTGTATTTATTATAGAGTCGGCAGATGCTATATGTAGGGATGGCCAAGGTACTCAATAAACATAATACAAATATGCATGCTAAAAAAAAATCAACAATGACTGAGAGATTTATTTTTAAAAGATGATTGCCACTAACTTTCATTTGTTTCTCAACCCAACAAGGCAACAAACCATCGCTAAGACACCAAGCCAGAAAGTAATCAACCCACCAAATTGTTCTTCTTTCTTATTATTATTTTAGTCCAGATAACTCTACAACTACTTTATCACTAATGTCAGTTTCAACCTAAATCCACTCGATGCATTTCTGGGCAGAGCATGATGTCATCGCTTAGTCGTAATAATCAGCAATAATATTTTTTTAAATCATAATTCTAGTGTAAACAATGTTAGCACCATCCCTTGAAGTTAGCTTTCTTACAGAAATATGGTGTTCCTTTAAAAAGCTTAAGTTCAGGGTAAAACAGGAATTAACAGCCAATAATAGATGAACTTTAGATGAATGTAACATGCAGACTACTCAATGCTTTGTACACTATACAATCGGTGTCTTGAGGGAGCCAACCCTAATATTATGTATGAAGTGAAGGAGTAAAAAAAAAATCAATACACATAATATTAAATTTTATTAAACACATTTGTAGAATGACAAATGCTGAACCTTCTAGATGAGGTTATTAGCTCCAGCCTCGAGGATCAAAGTTTTAATAGCAAAAGAGGAGTTGTTTTCACTATTGTAGTAATATTTTCTTGGTCATGTCATAGAAAACAAATAAAATGCTTCAGCTACTTACAGATCACTTGTCACACCACTTGAAAATCATTCAATGTAAACAAATAATATTACTTTCCTGCAACTTTGTAGATAAGAAGCAGATATATTGAACTTTCTATGAAAGTTTTTCAGATTTTTATTCTTTGGGTTTGAATCCAAGATCAAACACATAATAACATAACATAATGCTTTGGGACAAAAAGGGACCTATTAGTACATCTCGGCTCTCCCATCCTCTAAACCAGGAGTCTCCAAATTATGGCTCGTGGGCCTGTTTATCCAGCCTACCCACAGTTTATTAAAGTAATAATATAATTTTTTAGTATTATAAAAAAAATATATAACTTAATTGAGCAAAAGCCAATCTGATCATATATGCATCCCTACTTAATTTTACCATGACCCCTACAGCCCACAAAACCTAAAAAGATCTACCTACAGGCCCTTATCTAAAAGGGTTTGGTGACCTCTGCTCTAAACTAAAAACCATTAAATAAATAAATTTAAAAAAATCTTAAAACCAGCCCTTATCATCCATATAGTTATCAAGCTTTCTCTTAAACTCACTTACATTTACTGCCTCTACAACATAGGAAGGCAACCCATTCCAAAGGCCAACCATCCTGTTAGAAAAATAAAACTATCTTAGCTGAAGATGACTCCTACATTGCTAAAATTTATATTTGTGTCCAATAGTCCTACTATTCTCACCACTAAGTATGAAAAAAGATAAAAACATGATGCATCAACACTATCAATTCCCTTTACAATCTTAATCACCTCAATCAGATCCCCTATAACTTCTGTTTCAAAAGAAAACAATTTGAGAGATTTCAACTTCTCTTATGACAAACCCTCTATCCTAGGCACCATTCAAGTAACCCTCCTCTGAACCATTTCCAACAATTCAATGTCCTTTTTAAGGTAAGGAGCCCAAACTGAACAGAATACTCAAAATGTGGCCTAACCAGTGACCTATATAATGAAATTATAACATCTTTAGACTTGTATTCGACATTTCTGTAGATACAACCTAAAATCCTATTTGCCCTACCACTAGCAACAGCACACTTCTTAGAAGGATTAAGAGATTGATCAACTATTACATCAAGATCCCTTTCTTTCATCACACACTGTCAAGGTTATTTCCATCCATATTATACTTATAATTTAAATTATGATAACCCACATGCATTATCTTGCATTTATTATTATTAAAACCCATCTGCCATTTATTTTCCCAACTC